TTCTTTTGCATCTATGCAATGCAGAAACCAATACTGTAAAGAGATATGCTGTTTATGTGTTTGTGTGTATGTGTATCTTTCCGCATATTTCGCTTTCGAGATCTACAAAAAAGATGAAATTTTAGCTAGTTGAGCTATCAGTGCGGACGAGTTCGTAGGCGTGAAATGTTCTAGTTAACTCATAGCTTGGTTCTGCAACCATGCATCTTGCATCATTCCGAATTTTTTTTTCTATATAGATCTGTATCCTTCCTGATTTTAATTGTGCATTGCTTTTTTGGAATGTTTTGAGACTTAAGCCTGCACATTGCGGCTTGATTTACTCCTTTTGGTGATGTTTTTATGCAATTTTATTACATATTTGCACAAAACTGTCGAAAGACTGTCGGTTTGTGTGTGTATGTGTGTGTGTATGGGTATTTGAATTTCCATTATCCACATTCAACTTAGCAGCAGTGATCAAAACGACAAAAACGCTGAAACTTCCCGGAAATGCTGGCATATCCTGTACAATACTATAGCATTATACAAACATAAACAGAACCACGCACATGATTGTGGAAAACATCGAATTGTAAAATTGCCGACCTACCTCCCCCTTCTTCCTCAGTTGCATAGTGATCATACTTGCCAAAAAGTTTCCAGGCCAAAAATGCGATTCTACTTTCCTCAAAAAACAAGCAAAAACATTTCGAATATAGTAAACCGTAAGATAAACTGTAAAGCAGCGACTGTAAAACAACAACCATTCATACTGCTAACAATCTGATTGCTTCGTGAAACCGGCAAAAACATATGGTCGTGCTGATAACCTTCATGCGCTCATTATTCGTTTGATACTTGATAAAGCAGAAAAAGAGTAAAGAAATTAATAAATAATGTCGGAGGATAAGAATCGTTCAGGATCATTTGTACAGAAGACATAAAATCTAGCTTACAACAGTTCTAGCCAGGCCGACGAGGAAGGAAATAGTCAGAGTTAAAAATCGAAACACTATATCTTATTTGGGCACCAAATTTATTTTTTGCAAAAAAGGGTAGAAAAAAATAACAGTTACAAATAGGAACTAACCCGTTTCAGGGGACCAATTTCGTCATATAATCCAAATCACAAGGCATAGCAGGGCATGGGAAGCACTTTTTCACTTGATATATACGTGCACCAGTTACTTGCATATACGATATAAAGTGCGAAATATACATATGCGTTTCTTATACATTAAAATTTGTCGATCACATTTTTCCGACCAGACAGTGCGTAGTGCTCGCTTCGTTGAAAACTGATGGGCATGGCGCATTAGCGAGTGGTACCTTTAGGAAAGTAAGAACGGCTTCTTAGAGATTGCGCACATAATAAACTAGGCAGTAGATGCTAAATGAAGGTATGTATCTAAGGAAAGAAGAGCCTGAAGTAGCTACACCCGGCATACGGAATCATGGAAGTAACATAATTAGGATGGGATACCCACACTGATATTTGAAGGATTTTATTAATTTTCTAGCTTTCAAGAGAATAAATATTTAAAGCAACGCTTGTTACGCAAATTGTTTAGTTTTCGCCCATGTGGGCTTTCTGGTGTCGAATTAACTTGCTTTAGTCAGCCATCGTTTTGTTATAAACCCGACACTTGTACGGTTTTTCACCAGTATGAATTCGCATGTGCTTTTTCAGATGAGCTTTGTACCCGAAGCTCGAATTGCATTGGCTGCATTTAAGCGACTTTTCATCAGTATGAATTCTGTAATGTCTCCGTAAATCTCCCAGTTTTCTGAACTTTTTACCGCACTGTTCGCAGCCGTATGGTTTTTCGTCAGTATGAATTCGTATATGCTCTTTCAGTTGAGTTTTGCGTACGAAGCTTGAATTGCACTGGTTGCATTTAAACGGCTTTTCACCAGTATGAACTTTGTAATGCCTCCGTAAAACATCAACCCTTCCGAACTTTTTATCGCGCTGCTCGCAGTCGTATGACTTTTTATCGGTATGAATTCGTATGTGCTTTACCAAATCAGCTTTCTGCCTGAAGCTTGAGTTGCAGTAGTTACATTCAAGTGACTTTTCACGCGCATGAATTCTGAAATGGGCTTGTAAAGTATCCATTTTTCTGAACTTTTTACCGCATATGTTGCAGTTCTGTAGTCCTGCAGCAGCAGTATGAGTTCGCATGTACCTTTGCAAGTGAATTTTCTGCCTAAACCTCAAAATACATTGACTACATCCGAAAAAATGGCTTTTCGCCAGCATGAGTTTTGCAGTGCACTCGTAAAGTTTCCACTCTTCCAAATCTTTTACCGCACTGTTCGCAGCCATACG